TCAATAAGTTAATAGTAATAAGTTCTAAAATTGTTGGATATGTTAATTCAATAAAATTTAAATAAACGAATTCGTAGTATTAATTTTTTTAATTTTCTTTACCTTCAACTATTTTTATTTATTAACTTGCAACTGTAGATAGAGTAAATAACGGTAGTAAGTAATTTATTTTAGTCTTTTTTGTATGTAAGTAGCAAATTAAAAATATAAAAAATATGTAGCTCAATTATAAAATCAATGTCATAAAAATGTCATTAAAAGCAGATTATAATAGTTACCTACATAAATATTAAATTTGACCATTATGTAACTTTGCCAATTTTATAATTAGAAAAAAACTTTTTATACAAAAATTGTTTGAAAAAARATACTCTTCCTGAATCCGTATAAAGACATTGGTGTTGCCATTAAAAAAAAGTAAGTTGTATTGCGGATGCGCGTACCGAGAGAATTACAAATTTGAATTTTGCCTGACAATGTGTATTTAGATACCCTTTTACCTCCCGAAAATCCCATTTCAATCCAAGGTCATCCAGAGGAAATATTAAGTGGTACCTCATATCGTGAACACACTGTATATATATATATACATAGTACCTACATGTATAAAATCGCATAGCCTGACCACCGCCGTTATTCAACTGCAAGTAAATAATGAAATGTGTTATTATAGAATATCGCGCGTCGTACTGCAGCAACCGCGGTCGTGGTATAGCCGTTTTGCGCCGAACGTCACGAACATTACATTATACCACTACAATAATAATTACACGAGTGCCTTATTACATATTATACATGTATATATTATGTAAAATATTGTGCGCAATACTAATATATCCGTAACGGACTAAAACAGACAGCTATAAAATTATGACTGCTTCAGTATATGATAATAATAATAATATACAGTTTGATAAAGTCGCGTGTGGCCCGCAGCGGTGCGGTTGCCGTCGACGTTTATGCTCTATACAGGTATTGAAATCGCGGTCGACCGTGGTTGCGAAACGTCGGAGAATATTACTATTATTACTATTATATTTGAGTATATCGTTATTATTATTATTATTATTACTGACATCTCTCGTTCGGATATGATAATATGATTTAAAATATCGTATCGACTCGACGAGTGCCCAGCACATAACTTCCAATTGATATTCTACGACATCTGCTGCGGTGCTCCTAAATAATTTTTTGCCTCGTTGCCCATTAACTTTAATTATATAAAACTGACAAGGCTCACCCTTGAATATTTCTTCTTAATTACAAACTAAACTCGAAAATAATTAGGGTTCCCCCCCC